TTACATAACTGTCTTTTATGCTATCTGTTTTCTCCCTGATACAATTTGTTGCATGCTTCCCCAATTTGACAGATCAAGAAAGGTCTCTGAGCTTGATGTTTCATGTGCTAGGAAAAGTTGTATCTACGAGAGGGAACCCTTCTGGATGGAACTGTTAGGAAGATCTTCCCTTATGGAGCCCAAGTTAAGATAGGACAAACAAACCGAAGGTAAGATATGCAGGGTTCGCTTTCTAATTTTCCACATTATTATAATTTTCTTGCATTGCAAGTCTCATTGCATATGTAGCTTCAAGTTCTTTCCCCCTTTAACCAAAACACCAAAAGACTGATTTGTTAAGTATTGAACGGTATACTTACTGGCGCAGCCTGACAGTCCTCTCTCTGACATTCTTGTATTACAGTGGACTGCTGCATGCATCCAACATCACTCGTGGTAAATTTGATTCAGTTGGTGATTTATTAGCAGTGGGGGAGAAGGTCAAGGTCCTAGTTATAAGATCTTTGTTTCCAGACAAGATTGCTCTCAGGTAAGCAAGCAATTCCTTGATATTTACTTCAGTCCTTTTAACTTCTACAACATTAATACTTTATATTGGGAATTTCATACTATGAACAGTATATTCAGCGTATGAGTAATTAAATAAAAGTTCAACATTGCACAAGTTGTACAATATATAGTGTACACCTCCTCATTTAAGTAATCAAGTTTGTCATAATCAAATAACCAAATATGTGTCCAGTGGTGGAATGTGGATAAAAAAATGATCAAAATGGAACTGTTGGATTTATATATTTGGTTGAGGTATGATAATTAAATCGATAATTTAGGGGATGTGAATGCAGTTGTCCTCATTTAGCAATGTGCTAGAGGATCTATTTTGTAGCCTTAATTTCAAATTCTAATGCATTATCACTAACTCATGTTTGACTCTTGCTTTTCTTACATTTCAATTTATTCTGTGAACCATTTTTTCAGCTGGAATTTTCCTTATAAGAATGATTGTAAAAACGCACTTTATGATTTCTTCACCCCGCTAGTGTGTCATCCTTGAAGGGTTGAGTTTTTTCTCATTACCGTTTGTGTTAAGCTTTTCTGTTCCTCTTTACCTTTCATAAGAGGTTCTTGAACTTAAATTTGCACTCTTAGATGTATAGTTGCTGCAATAGAATGACCTTTTCAGTTTATGTTTTGCCTTTAATCAGGAACTTTAGCATCCAAGACTGTATATGAGTTTGGCTAACCTTAGGTTACACCCTAATTCCTTTCTTCTGCATTAACTTATACACAGCCCCTAGAAATTCTCTCAATGCTGTATTTGAGATGTACCGCATTGATAGTCTTCTCTTAATGGATCTCTGTGAAAAGTGTCCCTTGTTTGGACTTGTGAAAATGGAGAATCCTCTAGTCACGTGTAACTTAATCCGAGATGTGAGTTGGATCACATAGGGAGAGATATGCACGTATATTTGCAATAGAAATATGATACACTTGATTTGTCTTGATAACATCACTGCTCTTAGGCCTTGTTCACTTCACCTTCAAAAAATAATATTAAGTAACAATAATTTCAGTTCAATAAAAATAATTTCAATTCAGTATAAATAAGTTCAGTTTAGTAAAATTCAGTAACTTCAAAGAAGAAATATAATAGAAAATCAGTAAAAATTAATTTCAGTTCAGTAAAAATAAATTTAAGTTCAGCAAAAATAATTTTAGTTCAGTAAAAAAATTTTTAGTTCAGCAAAGATAAGGTGAAGTGAACGGGGCCTTAGACTAATTATTTTACCAATGTTGTTTTAGTTATGTCACCATTATTACGTGTGACTTGCCTATCACATGAATACATCCATGAGATCCACAAGACGATCGTAAAGATAGGAGGTCTTAATTTGCTAGGTCCTTAAATGCAAGCACTAATCAAGTAAACTCCCTCCCTTTTTGTTGCTCCAATATACCTCCGCTACACAGGACTTTGATTGTATTTTAAGTAATTAGGTCCTGTATAGAACGGGTATCTGCATACAATGGGCTTAGTCTCCCCAAATTTCATATATGACACCGTCTCTTGTATGCGTATCACCTCCCCCCCCCCTTTTCCCTTGCTTTTAATTTGAAAAGTTTTGCCTCAACCCCCCGAAATGACCTGCTAAAACTGGAACCCCACCATACTAACTCCACAAAATTGGAAGGGCCTAACAACGCAGAAAATGCGAAAATTCTGCAATGCACTCACCTCACTGCACTCACTTACTAGCAGCAATATGTTATAGGAAATCCATTGCAAGGTATGGCACTTGAGTCCCACATCGGTCATATGGGGGGTTGATGTGGGATTTATATAGGACAATGGGCTCTCCTCCCCTTGAGCTAGCTTTTGGGGTGGCTCTCCTTTTGTGGGATTTATATTGGTATAGACCCGGGATCCTGCTCAATCAAACAGTGACAAATAGATGTGCACTCACAAAATAGGAGGAAAGCTTGGAAGGATTTTTGATTAAAAAGGCTGAAAACTACAGGCTACTGCTGCTATTACAATAATAAAGGTGGAAGCTTGGAGAATATTATTGCTACTGCTATTCTGCTAAGCTAATGATTACAATAATAAATCACATGACGGCTTTCATTCTTTCCTTCCCTTTTTAAATACTAAGCAATCCCCATGACCTAGCAACGTACACATTGTCCTCTCTGCCAGCTTGGCTTTTTTCACACAATTACATCCTTCCCTCACTTCTTTTGTCTTCTTCTGCTTTCCCAAAATTGCTGCTACTGCTGTCCTTGCCCTGTATTTTTGTGCCTTCTGGTATAAACTCGGATTGGTGTATCTGGGCTGGCCCGATCTATTGCACAATATACAGAGCCGAACTAAGAACAGAGCATTACAACAATTTAGCAAGGAAAAGTTGAAGCTTTTGATTGAATAAGGGTGTTTACAAAGTTGGCTGTTTTAGGCCGCCACTCTCCAAGCAGTGACTATAGTTCACAAGTCTTTAATCACTACACAAATATCTGCCTACCCTTCCCCTTGCTCCCACCTGCTTATATATACAAGTTCTAATCCTAGGTTCCAACATTCCCTAGGTTGATTTGGTGGCTGCTGATTTTGTCTTCACATGATGCCTAGCTGTTTCGGTCTTCTTCCTTCTCTGCTAATTGCTTTTGCTGCTCCTGTGTGTTAGCTTGGCTGATGAGCCCTTAAGTGGCTTGGCTCTTCCTTTTTCTGTGATATGTAAAGACCATATTACAAACTCAAGTTTTCCTCCACTTGACCTGAATTCTTTGGGGTGAATCTATCATTTTTTCCCCTATGCTCCTTCGTTGATTACCAAAATCTCTCAATACAAAGTTACAAATTCAGGGTTTCTCTGTTGTATGGACACTAAGGTTTAAATCTCCTGTGGTTTTTTTTCACCACGGTGTTGGATTCCAAACTTAACCTTGAGTTTTTGTATTTGATATGGTTCCAAAATTTGGAGTCACCTTGTTTTGCTGTGAAAATTAAGACAGCATTGGGTGATGAATAGTTATGGCACCCCTAGAATATTAGAATGTGAGGGTAATAGAACAAAGTCTTGCACTATATAGTACGAGAACACAAGGGGAGAGAGAGATGTTGGTTGAACTGATACAAACTCAGAAAGAATCAATTTTGAAATTGTATTTGAAATATTCTTCTGGGGGGTAGTGGAGCAAATTGCTTGAAATTCTGAGATTGTTTTCGACATATTGAACTAAAAATTTGCTGAGTGGGAAGGGAATTACAAGGTATGATACATAAAATATGCTGATTAAGCGGGAAGGGAGGATGGTAAACTGGCCTGAGTTGTTGATTGGGTCGAGGCTAGGGTCAGTGGGGCATGTGTTTCATTATAGATTGAGTGGATATTATATTTTTATTTTTAGAAGGCTGATAAACAAACACAAGGGAGGAAAAAAAGAGCTTGTAATTTGCACATAAATTAAAGCCGAGTGGGACAGTGGAGCAACAAAAGGTCTGTACTGGTAATTCCCCACAAATTCCAATTGCAGATGGTAGCTTAAGGCACCTTAAGTTAAATATTCTGATTATTTATGTGTGTATAAGAATACATGCGATGTTCATCGAGTATAAAGCACAAGTTGCTGGAGAATTTAAGGCTTCTGCATTTTTGTTTTGCAGTATCGCGGATCTGGAAAGCAAGCCTGGACTCTTTATATCAGACAAACAGGTGCTTAAACATCTACTTAAATTTGTTTGTGTTTGGTATCCTGCAGTAACTATTCATCTTGCAAACATCATTCATTCTTAAAATTATATATGCATTTTCTATGGCCAGAAAGTATTTGCAGAGGCTGAAGAAATGGCAAGGAAATATAGACGGAAGCTTCCTAGTATTTCCACAACACGTAAAACTGAGCCTCCAAATAGCAATCTGTTGTTTGAAGATGAAGCAAATCTCTATGCAAATTGGAAGTGGTTCAAATTTCTAAGTGATAATGATCAAGATTCTCTATGAGCTTACTTATCAGTTTTTGTCACTCAAGAGGATGGCTATTTCTGAGACGATGGCTATTTCGAATGCATTAATGTGGTCCAAAAAACCGAATCTGAAAAAAATGAAAACTGCATCCCAGTCAATCACATGGCTAGACTTCCTCATCGTTGTACAAGTATGGCTGTAAGATTGTGTCCTGTTAGTGTACGAAGCTCAGCAATTTTCAATATGATCCGCGATGAGCATGCACATTGTTGGAAATATAAACATGATGTGCTGTGAATCAAATTTTGACAATGTAATCTGATGGAAATTTTTTGATTTATAAGATATTTGTATGATGTAACATATATTCACATTCCTAGCAGCTTCTGTTCAGTTGCTATCATGTAGTTGGGCTGTTTTGAGATAACAATGGAAACCTACATATTTATTACTAATGATTTTATCACTACAATTTTGAAGAAAATATCATGAAAATACAGTAAAAAAATGTTGGCAATTGGAAGCTTTCTCTTTTAATATCAGAGCCAGGATTCGATCCTGGGACCCGTGGGTTATAAGCCCACCACACTTCCACTGCACCACTCTAATTAATTGATAACTTTTGTACAATTAAAATAATTATAGTAAATACATTAAAGTCTTATTTTTGCTTCCAGAAAGTTCTTTTAGATTCCTCCAAAAATCTGGTAACGCGAAAGTGTTTATCGATACATGGTCATATTGGTCAACACATGGCGTTACTTAAAAGTATCATTACAGTATTAAATATTATTTGGTCCTACCCTAATATTATTCAAATTATATTAGCTGTAATTTGAAGTTTGAACCTTATTTTATTTGAACTAAACTGAACTTAATAGACTTAAATAAATAAAAATAAAGTAAGCATAACATGGTAATAGGTCGTAGGATAGATAACATCTCAGTTCCCACATTAGGTGAATTAGACATGCCTAGTATCTCTCAATTCTAAATTGAATGTGATACTACGTATTTGAATTAATGTCAGAATTTACAAGGTATTTTCAATTACCATTACAGTTATGTTTCCTTGTAACAGTTATCCATGGATACAAGGGATAATATTCTATAAGTAGAAAGATTAAATAAGTTCAGTTGAGTGAATATCAGGTTAACAAATCAAACCATTGAGGATTATGCATATAGAATTATATTCTACAAGTAGAAAGATTAGATACGTTCAAATAAGTGAATATCATATTAACAAATCATGCCATTGAGGATTATGCTTATAGGTGAATTGGTGAAATGATTATGAACATAGTATAGACAATGGGCGATGTCATCATTAGAATCAATAATGTGTACAACATTCATTGAAAAATACTCTAATTTGTAATTTTGTAAATAAGGTGGTTGATGTTTTTCATTGTAATTCCAACATGAAGCTCTTTAATTAAGTAGCAATAATTACTAATTAGTGATCATTCAAGTTTCCAACTTAGTGTTGTCTTTGTCCATTTGCTTGGCGTTATTTTTTTATTTTTTATTTTTTACAAAGAGTACTAATAAAGAAATACAAAACAAACAAAGACGCCAAACTACATTATGCCGAAACACTAAAGAGACACTTGCGAGCAAACTTTATTCGAGCCAAGTTGGAGTACTTGAAGTCCACATTAGGCCCGCGATCACGCTTTGCACCTACACGAACCACTCGGCAACCTACAACCGAACTGTGTCGATCCACTACCGAACCTTTTTTCCTAAACCGAGGATGAAAAATAGACTTGTGATGGCAAATTGGTTGACCCGAAAACTTGGCACTGGATTGCAAACTTTGATTGGCGTGGTGTTCATAGAATTAAATTGATATTGTGCCGATGCATGTATTAAAGCATCATCAACTTTCAAAACGCCCCAAAACTAGATTATTCAGATTCACTTGTGTCCACCTCGACTAGCTCGGTCTGATTAGGGGATTTTTATCCACCAATCAGCATCTGACACGTGGGCCAGCCAGGTTTCGCCACGTGTCCTTCATGTAGGCCAATAGGAGCCTGCCACGTGTCATCAAGAGATTCGTCCTCCTTGGACCAATTGCAATGTGACACGTGTCCACCCATGCCAAATGGGAAAACCGGCCAACAAGGCCCAATCATTGTGGGAGGCCCAGTCAGCCTTAGGTTTAACCTAAACCTAGTACTGGCACACATCCCAAGGCATATAAATATGCCCATTAATCCTCATTAAGAGGGATGGCGCACATTTAACACTCTCACCTAGAGAGACTCAATTACTTTTATTTCCGCATTAATTACTCCTTAATCAAGTACTAACTTGATCGTCGGAGGCGGATCTCCAATCGTCCGGAGCATCCGTTTGTTTTGCAGGTACAGGCGTCCGGTTCCAGTCTCGGAATTGTAACTCTCCCGCAGGACATCCGAAAACCCCGAAACATTTTGGCGCCGTCTGTGGGGAGAGTACTTCTGAGATGGCATCCACGTCTGCACCGACTCCTGAAGAGAGGCGTCCCCTAGACGACCCTCAAGTTCAGTCGGACCATGATACTAAGGAAGAATTTGAAGTTGAAGCTCACACAACTTCAGACGGGACCCTAAGGGCACGACGCACCCGTCATACCGAAATGAGGGAACGGGAACATCTTCAAACTGGAATCAGTGATCCAGCCGGCGCACCGCCTGTTCAGCAGCAGCCGGCTGACGGGTCTGCTCCCATTACAAGAAACGAACTCATGACCTTCATGAGGGGCTTCAAGGGAGAGATTCAAGAGTTGCTCAACAAGAAGCCGCCTGCTCTGGCCAAGGAGCAGTCGGCTAAGAAACCTTCCTCTTCAGGGAGGAGGAAGCCTGTTCGAGGGCGAGAGACGACCCCTCATCCTAACTCTAGGAAGTGGGAGCCGCCTGTCCTTGATTTCACAAAGTACTGCTTTCCTACTCCAGGAAAGAGGAAACCTGTTCGTCATATTCAGACGGACGGGTCGAAGAAAACATACACAGATGCTCGGCTATTGCTAGAGCAGAAGAAGAACGACCGATTGTCAGAGTCGGCCTCTACTTCAGACTTCCAAGACAGTCTACGCAATACCTCGATGAAGTATACTCAGTCGCATCATGAGAGTCAGTCAGGCGGCACCTCCCGTCAGTCCGACTTTCATAGTGACCAGGCGGTACCAAACTTACCATTTGTACCGCAACAACAATATTTTTTGCAGCCACCTCTGTTTGGTGGGCATGCAGCAAAGAATGTCCAACCTATGGACTGGCAGCTACGGTTGCTTAGACTTGGGGAACAGCCGTCGGCCTTCTCCAAGGAAATTGCTGAAGCCGCTCAGCCGGCCAAAGTAAAAAATGTATTAGTAGGCGCCTATGACGGCACTACTAACCCAGAAGACCATTTGATGGCATTCACCAACCTGATGTACCTTCAAGGGTTGGATGATCCCACTTGGTGCAAGTGTTTTCCAGCGACTCTTAAAGGAATCGCACAACAATGGTTCGGCAACCTGCCGACTGGTTGTGTGAATAACTTCAGGACGCTTGCTTACTTATTCACCTCCAACTTTGCCATGAACATACCTGCGAAGAAGACGACCCTTGATTTAGGAACGATTCAGCAGGGCGAGAAGGAGGGGCTTCGTTCTTACATCAGGCGGTTCAACCTGATGAGAATACAGATTCAAGGGTTACCGGATGAGGTAGCCTATACTGACGTTTTCAGAGGCCTCAAAGACGGGTCGACATTCAAATTTGATTTGGTTCGAAAGAGGGTGACAACTCTTCAAGAGGCCTTGATTGAAGCGAAAGCCTATATACAGGCGACTGATCTTTGTAGTACGGGAAAACAGTCGGACGGGAAAAGGTTCGACAAAAGAGAAGGACGACAGAAACAGTCGTCGAACAAAGATGAGAAGAAGAGAAAAGAGGTCTGGACGGCTGATTCCTCTAAACAGCCGGCCCAGAAGAAGAAGAAAGAATTCAAACCATACTCCCCAAAGTATGCGTTTAACAAGGATAGCCAAGCTATCCTAAAGGAAATCAAGGGACGGATCTCAATTGAGAAGCCGGCCCCCATGAAGGGTTCTGCAAGCAACCGGAACCAAGAAAAATTCTGTGATTATCATGAAGATGTTGGTCATCACACCAACGAATGCATCAGTCTCATGCAGTATCTGGACCGCCTGGCTGAGCAAGGCGATCTTGACTCTTATGTCAAGAAATCTACGGGGAACACTTCCTCGAAAAAGCAGTCGGCCAAAAAGAGTCAACAGGCCGACAGCTCCGATACAGATGATGCAGTCGTCTACACCATTGCAGGCGGCTTCTCAGGAGGTGGCCCCACTATTAGGGGCAACAAAGACAATATCAGGCAGCTAGACGTAAATTCCGTTCACCAAGAACGACCTTCCAAATATTCATTTCCTGAGATTGTCATCACTGAAGAAGATCTAGGAGGGGTAAGGGGGCCGCATGACGACCCTATCGTTATTGAATGTAAAGTGGCCAACCAGAGAGTTGGTCGAATCCTTATAGATACCGAAAGCTCCTCAGATCTTATCAGTAGCAAATGTTTGTCAAAACTCAAATATCAGACTGATTGCATACATCCGGCATCCCACCCTTTAGTAGGGTTTGGAGGAGGAGTCGTCCACCCAGTGGGACAAGTGGATTTACCCATCCGCCTGGGTGAAAAAGGGAAAGGACGACACATGGTAGTCCGGTTCCTGGTAGTAGAAGAACTCTCGGCCTACAACATGATTCTGGGACGACCAACCCTGAATAATTCCAAGGCTGTTATAATCCCATCTCTTATGTTGCTCAAGTTTGAGAGGGATGATGGAATAGTCGGGTCCCTAAGGGGAGATCAGAGGATGGCCCGAGAGTGCTATCTCTCGGATATCAAGGCCACTGTTATGGCCGCTGGGTCAAGTGGTGGAAAAACAGACCTTGACAATGTCAAGGAGAGTGCGCCTGTTCAAGAAGCAGGCGGCAAGAAGAGAAAGGCAGCCCAGACGGGGGCCGCAAGAAAAGGCAGAAAATAGCAATCATTGGCAGAGGAGCGGTCGGATGAATTCCGCCCTCAGCCGGCTGGTGAGCATACGGACCTGATCTTAGACGACTCACGTCCTGAGCGAACAGTCAAAGTTGGGACGACTGCTCTGAGAGTCCTGGGTGACGACTTTCACAAACTATTGAAAGAATACAAGGACATCTTTGCATTCGAAGTCCACGAAATGCCAGGCATTAGTCCTGATCTAGCGGTACATAAACTGGCTGTGGATCCGAAAAAGAAGCCGGTAAGGCAGAAGAAGCGGAACCATGGCGAAGAAAGAAGTCAGGCGGCAGCCGCCGAAGTTAAAAAATTACTTGATGCAGGGTTCATTCGGCAATGTTACTTCCCAGAATGGGTTGCAAATGTGGTGCTAGTTAAAAAGCCAAATGGCACCTGGCGAATGTGTGTAGACTACACAGACTTAAACAAGGCGTGCCCCAAAGACAGTTACCCTCTGCCTAAAATTGATAACCTAGTCGACTCAGCAGCCGACCATGCTTTGATGAGCTTTATGGACGCCTACTCTGGTTTCCATCAAATTCCTTTATGGAAGA